GACTACGTTACCACTTACCATCAGGTGGAACGTGGTCAAGCACTAATTCAGAATACTATAAAAAAAAGACACAGCTCCTTTGTGTTTGCCGTTAAGAAATAACGGCATTAAATCTATATTTCTTCTTTAAAAAAGAGCTATTCGGGCAATTTATAATAAGAACATTAAAATATATCAGCACTTACCTCTTATCTGTTCAACAAAATATCTGTTGTTACTTAAGAAACAGTGATAGTCACCAAATAAATATTAGAAGTAAGGACAAACTGGTAACGCCAAGCTTTCGTTTTCAGCTTTTATGGGGCAAGGTGTACGTATATAATATAATAAAATTAAAATCTACACTCTATATTGAGCTTGCCACTTAAACAGTTTAAGTGAAATTGTATCCATCCATCTAGTTCCATGATAAGCTACGAGGCTTGTGTTATGGATACCAGACAGTTGATATTCTACACATATATAACTTTAAATACATACATATTATAAATATAAACACCCATAACTGGATTACAAACATTCGTGCTCATCACACAAATGAATGCCCCCTGTGGGACTCGAACCCGCGACCGCTGGCGCAGCACGGATAAAAATGTGGACTGTGGGGAATTACAATTAGTTGATACTCACAATGGATAAGAATATAATACAGTACAATAGTATTGACATAGAAACAAACATTGTAAACAAATATTATTTTTAAAAAGAGCGACTGTTGAGTCTCGTCGGCTATTCTCAGCAGAACTGACTTCCGAGTCGATGCAGTGGTAGAGTACTCATGAACCGACTAAAAAAATAAATAATTTAAATTTTTTTTTAATTTAAAATGGGTGCTTCAAAAATGTTTATAAATATCAAATATTTTGATTTTGTGTACATTGGAGAGGTGCATAGTAAATTTGTTATTCATATTATTTAGTCAATTCATATAAATACTTTGCATTTATAAATTAAGTGGTATATTATCAAAGAGAATACTTAAATTTAACTGGGTTTTTATTTATTATGAAATTTGAGAGTACTGCAATGATGCGGGGAGCGGGGATGATGTAATGAAACACAACCGCTCCCGATAAGGTTCTTTATTCTACTCCTCCGTCACAATACTGTCCTTAATATTTATACTATGCTATACTTAATCCCACTACACCACCGGGGTAAAAGAGAAAAAAAAAATGTTTTTTTTTTTTTTTTTAGTTACAATCTAATGCTTATGTACTAACTACAAAGATACTGCTACTGTTAAAAAAAAAACTGCTTATTAAACTTAACAATATTCTAATAGATTTTCTTAATATTAAGTGAATTATGAATATAAACATATTATTTATCTTTTACAAAGGGCTTTGTTCTATTTTTATGAATAATTTCAATTTTACCATTTCTCAAAATTTTTACATTAGGTTCTTGCTCTTCAATAACTACATACGGGCCATTATACAAAGTATCTAGTTTACTTCCTGTCTCATTTTTTACTAGTAACATATCATTTGGTTTATATTTTATTTGATTTACATTTTTATCATATTTTTGTTTCCTTTTCTCTTTACATTTTAACAAGTTTTCTCTTGCATCTCTGCTAGCTACCTGTAATCTATATTTTAATTCTAAACTATAATTATCTGGATTATACAATGGTTCTATGTCAGCAGAAATTCTACTAGGCATTTCACAAGGTTTTCCGAAAACTAACTCGTATGGTGCATATTTCGTACTTGAATGAACTGTATTGTTGTATGTAAAACACCAAAATGGTAGCCATTGGCTCCAAGTGTCTGGATGGCTATCGCACTGTATGCGCAAAAATGAACCTAGATGTTTATGTGCATTTTCAAGTGAACCAATACTTTGATGATGATATGCTGTCGAACTTAATTTTTCTATGTTAAGTAATTTACATACCTCTTCCATTGTAGCAGACATAAATTCAGTTCCACGATCTGTAGCGATGACCTTTGGAATTCCAAACCTTAAAATGAAATTATTCACAAAACTCTTAGCTATACTTACCGTTTCCTTATTTTTAAGAGGATATGCCTCTACAAACTTACTTAACTCGCATTGTATACTTAATATATATTTATTATCTTCTAAGTCTCTATCTAACGGACCGACTATATCTAGAAAAACTTTTTCTAAAGCAGAACTTGCTGTAGTCGTTATAACCATAGGTTCCTTAATATATCTAGAATACTTCATCTTTTGACATTTTTCACATTTTCGAACATAACTCTTAACATCATTTTCGATTCCTGGCCAGTAGAATCTACGTTTATGTTATTTATCATTCTGCGAATCCCAGCGTGTCCGCTTGTGGGAAGCCAATGATAGTCATTCATAATAAATTCCTTTTCTTCGTTACTATCTATTCTTTTTATACCTCTCAAAATACAAATGCGTGGTCCGGACCACTTGTTTATTTTTTTTATTTCTTCTACAAGATTCTTGATAAACAATGTGTTATCTTCTCTTTTATGATACATATTTCTTTAATTTTTAATTTTTCACATATTTGTCTCAATTTTTCCACAAAAACGTCTCGCGTATAATGTGCTTTAAAATCGAGATTAACATATAATATATTTTTATTTTTTCGAAATGCGAAACATTCAGATTCAACATCAATCATTTTTTTCTCTTTCATTTTTTTCAATTCTTCTCCTTCCAGTAAACTTAATTCAACTGCTCTATTCGGTATCCTAAGTATTTCCACTACTTTTGGTTGATCAGGCCAATCGTTCTGGTCAATACTTGGGATATCGTCTATCACCTTATTTCCACTTTCATTCTTTCTTTCATTCTCTCTTTCAGCCTCTCTCATTCTCCTAGCTTGCGCTCTCGTTGTTACTGCCATTAATCTTTCATTCATTACCTTTAACTCTTGGGACGTTATGCTTATTCGCGATAAAGCATCTGCTATCACATTTTCTTTCCCTTTCACGTATACTATTTTAAAATCATATTCTTCTAGTGCTAATCGGAATTTTAAAAGTCTACTTGACGGATCTTTCATTCCAAACAAGTATATTAAAGGTTTATGATCTGTCATTATTGTAAAGGTACGTCCATATAGATATGGTCTGAAATATTTAACGCTCCAAACTATGGCAAGTAGTTCCTTCTGTATTGTTGGATAGTTTAATTCTGCTTTATTTAAAGGTCTACTAGTATAGGCTATAGCCCTCATGTTACTATTACAAAGCACTGCACCTATTGCTGTTCCCGAAGCATCGGTTTGTAGTATAAATTCTTTTGAAAAATCGGGGTATTGTAGAATGGGTGGAGTCGTTAAAGCGTTTTTCAAAAATTTAAATGAATTTTCGCATTCTTCAGTCCATTCGTATCTGACATTTTTCCTACAAAGTTTATTCAAACAATTAGTTATATCAGCAAAATTTTTAATAAACTTTCTATAGTAGTTACACATCGCGACAAAACGTCTGACCTCATCAACGTTTGTCGGTGTTGGATAATTTTGAATAACTTTGATTTTCTCTGAGTCTGGTTGAATTCCTTCAGAAGATATCGTATGACCCAAATATAATAGTTCTGTTTTTAAGAATTGACATTTATTCGGATTCAATTTAAGATTGACTTTACGTAAACGTTCGAATATTTCTATTAAATTTTTATTATGTAATTCAAGGTTTCGTCCAAAAACAATACAATCGTCTAAATAAATAAAACATTTTATGTAGTTAAGGCCTGACATGGCTACTGACATCACTCTAGAGAAAGCACTAGGACTGATTTTTAGTCCCATAGGTAGACGTTTCATTTGATATTGACCTGTACTAGTTGTGAAAGATGTAATTGGTCTGGATTCAGGCTTTAAAGAACATTGATAATATGATTGGCTAAGGTCTAAATGAGAATAATAAATTGCGCCTGATAGTGAATCTAGTATTTCGGTAATATTTGGTAATGGGAATTTATCATCCTGTATAACTTCATTTAACTTTCGGTAATCTATAACTAATCTCCACTTTTTGTTATCTTTATCATCTGATTTTTTAGGTACTAATAATATAGGACTGGACCATTCACTTTGTGAAGGTTCTATGATGTCGTCATCTAACATTTGTTTGATTTGTTTGTCTACTTCTGTTTTTAAACTATGTGGTAACCTATATGGCTTTACATAAACTGGATTTATATTTTGTTTCAAATTAATTGATTGTTCACATAAATTATTAGTAGTTAGCTTATCACCGGGTAAATGAAATATGTCAGCATACTTTGAACAAATACTTTCTATATTGCTTCGTTCGCTTGTACCTAAGTGATCAAGTTTCAAAGATTGTAATAAAGTTTTTGCACGTGTAGAGTTCAAATTACACTTATCAAAGAAACAAACATTATACTCTCTTAATGGTAATAACTCGGGTTGAAAAATTGGAATAATTATTTCCTTATCACTGATATTCATTAATCTGATAGGTATTATGTTATTTTTAGGTTTTACTATCAAACCAGCCAAAAATAAGTTTTCTTGTAATTCTTTCTGTACAATCACACTGTCTTCTTTCACATCTGAATTTAACTTTATATAATGAATAGTTTCACACCGTGCCGGTATCGCAATATGTTTAGTACATAGTTTAGGTGAAGTATATAATGGTATCTCACTTTGTTTTTCATTGGTTAAAGTTAATATATTTTTTTCTAAATTGATAATTGAATTAAAATTATTCAGAAAATCTAAACCAATTATACCATCTGACTTACAAGGTAAGTTCTTAAACAAGTAAAACTTGTGCTCATAAGTAGTACCGTCTGATGCCTGTAGAGTTAAATAAACATAGCCATCTGAATATGTCCTGCCACCTATACCGTTTATAACTATAGGGTCTCTATGTATCGGTATACGTTCCGATAAGATGTTACTACGAATTGCCGATAATGAAGCACCTGTGTCTAGCAACCATGAACATTTTTGATTATCTAAATTTAAATACACATATTTTACATTATCGTCGCAAGTTAAAATATAATTTTTAGGACCGAAAAAACTGATTCCGTTCGGTAGTTTTATCCTCATTTGTAGTTTCGACATGTGCGGTACAAATATTTCGCTGATTGTGATTACCACTACTAGTGTTACCTCGAACACGACTCGAACTCACAAAATTACCACGATAACCTCGCGTCGATCGAGTATTATTATATCCTCGATTATAATTATTTTTTACGTATTTACCTTTCATATAATTGTTGAAGTTGTTGTAATTTCGTAGCGTCGTCTGTTGCAATTGAGGACGGAATTCGCGATTTGAATAAAAATTACCTCTAGAAGTCATTTGTCCACCTCTACCTCTTAGTGAAGACCTATAATATGGGAATTGGTTACCTCTCCTTTGTGCGTTGAAGATGTTGTTGGACAACGAAGGCTGTCCCAGCTCCTCATCCTCAGCAGCACGTACTGCGTCCTTCAGGCTTGAGTAGTCTCGTGCCGATATAATTGTGCTCAGTCTCCTATTGCGTAATCCGTTTGCAAACCTTTTAACTGCAAGTTTTTCATTTATAGGTCTCAATATCTCACAAGACTTCGGATTTCCGTCGCTTTGTGCAATAGTGAGGCCTACAAATAACTCAGACAATTTATCACCGAATTCGTGAATGGACATGTTATTTTGCGATAAATTATTTAATTGTGTTAGTATCGAATTTGCAGATTTTTTTGTTAGTAAAAACTTTCTAATGTCTTGTATTAAACTCGTCACGTCATCATATTCGCTCTTTAGCTTTAATTTAGCAGACTTAGATAACCTGGTTTTTAAAACAAAAGAGATGAGTAATTTTTTCTGAGTAACATCTACAAGATATTCATTGTACATCTCAATTCCGTTAATAATATTTTCAGTAATTTCCTCCGTATTATCCATTACGGGGATCAAAGAGGTTGCCGTTTTAATATCGAATTTATCCATTGTGCTGCCCTGATAATTAAATTTATATGTCAATATTTTATCATATATGCACTCAATACGTTCCCTTAATACTTCGAACACATAATCTTTTAACTCTACTTTAATGTCTTGCTTAGCAATAATATTAATAATATCTTTATATGTTAAAAATAATTTTTCAGCTTCTAAAATCTTATTATTAACATTACCTTTATATTTTAATCTTCTAGTAGGGCCCAACTTTCTTAAATCTATTTGAATTTCAATTAACTTATTTAATATAAATTCTAAATCTTTTTCCATACATAACTCTATACATACACTAAATATTATAGTTGTTAAAATTCATATATTATAAAGTTACACTATATACTACAGTTCATAAAGTTCATATTATGTTATAGTTCATAAATTTTCATATTTACGCACGAAGAGGGACAAGAGATAGTAATAAAAAAAAATAATGATGTGGGGGTTTTGGGGGGGTTGATGCACTTTTTTACACTTATTTTTCACATTTCACTTTCACTAAAGTAGGTGCGCGGCCGAACACCAGCCAGCACTAGCAGCTTTGCCTTATTAAACAGCATCACTCCCAGCAGCATTTGCAGCATTGAACTTCCCGGAAAGCCTTTGACGGATCCTTCTAACAAATTCTGTTTGCATCCTCTTTTCTATCCATTTTCTCTCCTTCTTACGCCATGCTTTACACCCAAAATATATTGAAAAAACAACGAACAGTACCAAGACCACTGCAATTAGGATGTTGTTGGTCAGCATATGTGTTTGTAGATTTGTTTCTGCGAGTACAGCACCGTTACTACCGACTGCATTTTGGTTAATCAATATCTCCTTATCTTCATTTTTAGAATAATATTTCCCCATTGTTAGTTAAACGTTAGTTATTTTTCTTTAATATATAAGATTTATTTAATTCACTTCACGTTATAAAAATTAAACTGTACTAAAACTGGCACCGAGGCACACAGGAATCCGCTGCGTTGCGAGATTCGCCGGTCACCCGACACTCGCCCACGCCACGGCAAGGCAGGGTCGCCATGCAATGATGCGGGGAGCGGGGATGATGTAATGAAACACAACCGCTCCCGATAAGGTTCTTTATTCTACTCCTCCGTCACAATACTGTCCTTAATATTTATACTATGCTATACTTAATCCCACTACAGTACTATTTTTTCTATGATGATGATACAAGAAATTTTATTTTTTTTTGTTATTTCTATGTTCGAATTATTCTTGAATACGTCTTTGGTCTTATAGCTAGCATGTACGGCTGCAGATTATCAAGTCCTGGGTTTGAGTCCCGTCCCGTTGAAATATTTTGGTTTTTGCCGTCAGCTTTGTCATGGATCTCCTAAATCTTAACGGTCGAACTATGATCATGAAATGAATAAAATGCAAATGTACATGCACTATAACGTCTTTTACGCACATACTCGTATCTATCTAGTTTTAAGTAATATTGGCCGCTAGGACTGAAATTTCTCTAAGTACTTTATGTTACCGTATTTTTCATATACCTTCAAAACTAATTATCTATTGTTGTTTAACTAATTATAATCTATATGGTTGAGGTGTTTCAAATAAATCAATATTATTTGTATCGAATTTGGATTCATAACTTAGATTAAGTTACTTTTACAATACTTCATGTAAATTTATAAAACTCTGTTACTAAATGTTATTGTTCTTAAAATAGTAAGTAGTTATCTGTTATTTTATTATTTATTGAAAGAAGAATATATTTGGTTTTGCTGATATTAATGCTATTGTAATAAAAATAATTTGTTATAAAACCTTTTTAAAAAGCACCGACTTCCAGGCACTAAAATGTTAAAAATATGTAAACGGAGGTTTTCATTTAGAATAAATATCTAATCAGATATTTTCGATGTCGGTGCCAGCCGATGCACGAATTGAGAACCTCGTTTTTGGAAGTCGGTTAAAAATAGATTTCCTTAATACTGTGTTGTCTTGTTACTTTGTTCTTATGAATAATAAGCATATTTTACGTTCATTTTTATTATCTTTAAGAGGCTTCATTCCAACTATACCTACCTACTTGTCCATCAAAAACTGATATTTTCTCATCAGCGTTAATTGCTGGCGTGCCTGCCCTCTATCTCCACTAATAAGAAGTACGGTACCTAACGAAAATAAATGTCCCTGGGAGGTGTTACATTTTATATTTTTGTATCACGCGAGCTTCGATTTATTATTCCGTGATTGTGGCGATAAAGTGTCCTATAAACAAACAATGACTGAATACAATGAAGGCAACGTAGAAACTAAGAAATAGCTTGAAAGTATTTTAGTTAAAATAGGAGTGTCGAAACACTTCATTAGTGTCTCCTTATTAGCATAAAGCTAGACGACTCGTTTGGCTCAGTGTGTAGTGACCCTACTTGCTGTGCCAGCGGTCGCGGGTTCGAGTCCCGCTGGGGGCATTCATTTGTGTGTTGAGCACGAATGTTTGTACTCCAGTCATGGGTGTTTATATTTATAATATGTATGTATTTAAAGTTTATATATGTGTAGTGTATCAACTATCTGGTATCCATAACACAAGCCTCGTAGCTTACCATGGAACTAGATGGTGCTGTGTGTTAATGTCCATAAAAAAAAGTATTCTGTGAAATAATCCTTTATACAATCCTACATTTACTTATGTTTTCTATGTGAACATTTGTTTAGTTACTTCTCCCACATGTACAACACAATCTTACATTCAAAATATATATAATTAGTCTATATAAGTGGGAGACAGGAGACCAAACTAGGTCAGCCCAGTAATATGGGCCTCAAATCTATACATATAATAAAATTGTAACTCAGCCGCATCTGTACGTGAAATATTTTTTTGGAAAATCTTATTGAAATAGACATTTTTATCAAATTACTTATACAGAGGCCGAATCTATAGTTTTTAGAATTTTTGTCTGTCTGTCTATTTGTTACAGCATTATGTATAAACGACTGTTGGGATTTTGATGAAATTTGGTATTACGATAACTGGTTATCCGGGTCAACATATACTCCACTTTTTTCTGCAGGAAAATATCTCATCCCTGAAAAATCTATACTTAACGTTAAAACGTAACTAGGGACCTGAGCGGAACGAGGGTGAGTCGCTAATCTATACATATAAATATCACAGAGTCTGGCTCAGCATTGAGCTACTAAAACCACAGGCGATAAACGACGCAACAAAAAAAAACAAGAAGCCGCAACTTTAGTTAGTTTATGGACTCAATTTAAACTAAGTTTATAATCCGTAATCCTTAAATTCATGGGCTGTCCAACGAATCCACATAGTGGCACAAAGAAATTACTTTTTCACATAACTTTTAGGGACTAAAGTAAGTTATAAAGACTAGTATAAATATACATGATGATGATGTTCTCCTGACCGATTCCAGCCACGGCGGCCAATCTCATTGAGACTAGCCAACTGCGCAGGAGATATTATAGTGCTCAAGTGTACGCGCAGACACAATTGCACTCTCTATTCCTGTCACTCTCATACTCCGGTGGGACGACTGCTCGACACGACCAGTGAGAGTTAAGGCGCAGGACCGACGGCTTTACGTGCTCTCCGAGGCACGGGGGTGAAACACCGCCAACTTCCCAACTCCGGGCTATTACTGAGGCTTACTATACAGCAAGACTCAGTAACTAAACTTGGCCCGACCCGGGACTCGAACCCAGGACCTCCGGGTGTGCAGCCGTACATGCTAGCCACTACACCACCGAGGCAGGCAGTAAATATACATATGCTAATTATTACACACATGCTAATCTGGTGCCATGGTAAGCTATGAGGCTTGTGTTATGGATAACAGATAGTTGAAACACTACACATATATAACTTTAAATACATACATATCATAAATATAAACAGCCATGACTTTAGTACAAACATTCGTGTTCGTCACACAAATAAATGCCCTCAGCGGGACTCGAACCCGCGACTGCTGGCACAGCAGGTCTTGTAGGGTCACTACAAACTGAGCCAAGCGAGTCATCAAATTGTATTGAAGATTAAATTCGCTTAAACCAAACCTCATAGCTTTACATTAAGATATTAGATATTTTACGATTCATTTTCTGCGTATCAGTAACAAGTAATAAAAAATGGCTAAAAATAAACAAGTCTCTAGTGGTATTACCAACTACCTTCCAACATGCACTTTCAAAAATAATCAATATTCGTAATAATGCGAATGTTGTTACTACATCTGTGTTACGTAAGTTACAAAAAAAATATTAGCTATTTTCTTAGAAAAATTCAACCACTAAGATAGTTAAGTAAAAAATTTTATTTGGAGAAATATAACATGAGAATAAATTGAGAATTTCATCGTTTATACGAAAATATATGGAAAACCTTATCTCTGAGTGATACTGAGTGAGTAAGGTCATTTGTTATTTCTATAGATTATTATAGTCTGAGCTGTTTTTTTTAAATCGGAATGGAGTTAACTTATTTCCTGGAAGCGAATATGACGCGAGATGAGTTGCAAACAAAAAAATAGTACTATCTATATATAAATAGGCAAAGACAGAACAGTTATGTACTTTTTTAAACCAACTTCCAAAAAGGTGGAGGTTCTCAATTCATCGGATTCTTTTTTTTATGTATGTTCAACGATTACTCGAAGACGCCTGAACCGATTTGGATTTTCTTTTGTTTCAAAGCCTACAATATTTTAAGATATGAATAATCTAATAGGTAAACATGTATTTTACGTATCGAAATATATTAGATTTCCTATGCGTCGACTGGCACCGACTTCGAAAATATCTGATTAGGTATCTATTCTAAATGAAAACCTTAGTTATTTTTTTACATTTTAGTGCCTGGAAGTCGTTTTTTTTTAAGTTTTTATCTCCTCATCATTAATCCAACAATACAATAAGCCGTAAATAACATTATTTGGTAAAATATCAAAAACCTAAGAATATATATACTCGTATATACATACAGAAGATAAAAGTAC